TTCAACATTCAGGCCCCTAACCAACCCGTATAGGACAACTCATACATTTATACATCAGAAGCAGACACTCAAGAGTCCTTTGTGACAATATTCAAGATTGTCAAGTAAAGTGTCCATTGAGTTTCAACAATAAGCAAAAAATAATCCATTTAGTTCTGATAGTCAACAAAAGATTCAACACAGATCCTTGTTTGAGAAAAAGGAGAAAAATAGGAAAAAAGTTCAGTTAAAGTCCTTTCACAATAGTCCTTTTCAGGAGCACAGGTCAGTCCGGTCTCATCAGGTCGTGTCTCGTAGAAGGCACAGCGTTGTGTTGGTGCCATTTTGTGTCCTGATCCTGACCCGACGTACTCGTCCTTTTTGTCGGGGAACATTTCCGTGATTCTTCCCATGAGCCAGGAGTTACGTGGTGAGCTTTCATTGATGATCAGCACTAAGTCTCCATGCTTTAGATTCTGTTTAACCTGCCTCTCGGGTTGCAATGGGAGGCTCTCGTGTCTGTTTGTTTAGAATCTATACTACTAATAATAATAATAACAATAATCTTTATTTATGGAGCACTTTTAAGACCAATATTATAAAGTGCTTCACAAAAAACAGAAGTTATAAAATCATCAGTTCAAAGAGAATTTCAATCAGGTTAAACAAAAAAGACACTTCAGAAGATTTATATTTACGTACAAAAGTCTGTTTTAATAAGAGACTCGAACACACGGAGTCTTAAAATAATCAGTAAAATCCTGAAATCAATGAAAACAATATAAATACTGGGAGTGATTGATTATATTATATTATATTTTGTAAGTGTTATAAAGGCAGAGATGGACGCGGTGTTGTGCTGCTTCCCAGCGTTGGTCACAGAGGTCACATCGTACAACAACCACACAAACACTGAAATTGAACCAAACTGTGTCTGAATGAGTTAAAGTGAGAGAATAAGACCACTAACTGTTGTCTGTGATTTCACTGAGTGTCTTCAATTGATTCATATCCTTAACGGAAGCTTTAGTTGTTATGGTTTTACTTTAGATTGATTTAAAGAGGATGATGCGTTCACTGGTCATTAACACACTGCGTACATTATCAATACGTCCTAAATAAAACTCATTATATGTTGTTGGGGTTTGAGGTTTGGAGGAAGCTCAGGTCTGCTGTGTCTTCCTCCTCCTGTTGCATGCTGGGACATCCCACCCAGCAGACCCGGGGCGATGACGGGGCCTCACCCGTCTGATCGAGTCCCAACAAGACCTGTCTCACCCCGTCTCCCCCCCCCCCCGTCTCTCCATGTTAAACCCTCTCGTCCTGTCTCGTCTTGTACCGACACTGTTTGTTCTCCAGGATGCAGAAATATTCAAATGTACCTGAATATAAAATATTATTACCACAGAAACAACTGCACCTCCTCTCACCTCCTCTCACCTCCTCTCACCTCCTCAAACCTCCTCTAACCTCCTCTCACCTCCTCTAACCTCCTCTCACCTCCTCAAACCTCCTCTCACCTCCTCAAACCTCCTCTCACCTCCTCAAACCTCCTCTGACCTCCTCTCACCTCCTCTAACCTCCTCAAACCTCCTCTCACCTCCTCAAACCTCCTCAAACCTCCTCAAACCTCCTCAAACCTCCTCTCACCTCCTCTCACCTCCTCAAACCTCCTCTCACCTCCTCAAACCTCCTCCTAACCTCCTCAAACCTCCTCAAACCTCCTCTAACCTCCTCTCACCTCCTCAAACCTCCTCTAACCTCCTCTCACCTCCTCTCACCTCCTCTCACCTCCTCAAACCTCCTCAAACCTCCTCTCACCTCCTCCTCTCACCTCCCTCTCACCTCCTCAAACCTCCTCTAACCTCCTCAAACCTCCTCAAACCTCCTCTCACCTCCTCTCACCTCCTCAAACCTCCTCTCACCTCCTCTCACCTCCTCTCACCTCCTGAAACCTCCTCTCACCTCCTGAAACCTCCTCAAATCTCTTCTCTCACCTCCTCAAACCTCCTCAAATCTCCTCAAACCTCCTCTCACCTCCTCTAACCTCCTCAAACCTCCTCTCACCTCCTCTCACCTCCTCAAACCTCCTCTGACTGAGTTTGGGGTCACACTGTTTATGTAGCATGAAATTTGATCTGGAATCTGCACGTGGTATTTTATTTTGAAAACTGACTGGGTAAAAGAGTTCAGGTTAGTTCTTACATCCAAAATAACGACACAAACAATTCTCAACCTGATTTGTTCCACAGTCTTTCATTTTTAAAGAGAACTAAACTAAACAAACAGAAGTCAGACTAACAGGAAGAAGAGTCCAGCAGAAATGAAGACGAGCAGCTTTGTAGTCGCAGTGTTTCGTTCTCTGCCGGACTTTCTGCGTGTTTCCACACTGACTCACCGAGCTGTGACTCAGCTCATCACACTGCTGACGGTGTGGAGGAGCGAGTCCATCCATAGAAACACAGCGCAGCCTCAGTGTGGACGGATCAGAGCTCAACAGTCAGCACAGTCCTTCCAAACATATTACTATACACAATATTATTATATATAGTTTTAAAGATTGATTCATAAACACTGAATATAATGTAAGTTTAAATAAATAAGTCTACAAACAGAAAGTAAAGTGCTGCATTGAGCGATAAGTTCCAACCTCCAGGAGTAAACTGACTGAGTGACATATTTTATAATATATTATTATTGTATTAATTCATCATCATTATATTTAAAACTGTACATTGAACCCAGGGTCAGACCCCTCTGTGTTGAAAGCTTACTGTATCGTACCACTGCAGCAGTCGACCGCAGTTCGACACAATACTGCGACTGCTGCAAGATAAACCTGAGGGTGAGGCTTTGTTATTGTTCTTGGATGCAGCTCAGACCAGGTCCAGGTCCAGGACCAGGTCCAGGACCAGGTTCAGGACCAGGTTCAGGACCAGGACCAGGTTCAGGACCAGGTTCAGGTCCAGGACCAGGTCACGCTGGAGTCTGATCTTTAGCACATTGAACAAACAGCCTGAGCAGACGGTGTGAGCGTGGCGCTCTGTAGACGCTGTTGGGTTTTGTGGTGTGTTTGTGCCGACGGCAGTGATTCACTGAGACTCAATGCATGCTGGGTAGATGTGATACACACGTGGGCAACGATAACCTCACGAGATCGAGGCGGTCGCAGGCTCTCCGCGGCCCAGTGCAAGATGGGAAACGCCCAACTGTAGCCGTATCTTGGAGCTGGTTGGCTCGTAGTTCTGACCACAACTTCCTTCCTATTTTCTGTGTGGTTTTAATCTTTAACTGCTGATTGTTGCTGTTTCCTGTCTCATGATGGAGGTTAACAAACAGATCCTGTGTGGTTGATATCAATAACGTTTATTTATGGATCCGAACGTGGTCCACAAACTACAAGTAGAGGATGTAACAGGACACGTTTCACTGACTTCCTGTTTATTCTTTCTGCTGGAAAACTGACCGCTGCTTTGTATCACCTCCTCCTCCCGCCGCCGCCGCTGCCGCCTGATTGGTGGTTATTGGTCGAATTAAACGTGTGTTATTGTTAATATTCTGCTATGAAAAGATAAAGTTAGAACATGAAAATGGCTCTGATTCAGCAGAATGAGCCAGAATTGTAACGCTGCCTTTCACTCATTCAGTCAATAATGTGTTTGTCTTGTTTAAACTTTATTTATATCACCAGACTGAACTGGCTGCAGGTTCTTCACGTTTCCGCGTCGTGCTCAGTTGATCCTACAAGGATGATTATAAAGGAAACTTAAAACAACACAACTCAGAGTTGGATCAGCTTTAATGGTTTCCCAGCTTCCCTTTAGGGGCCGGTTCCTGAAGGGTTCAGTGGGTAAAGTTTCTTATTTCTGAGTTAATGAACATTAAAGTTACCGTACAGTTATCGACCCACTTCACTGCTTTCATTGGTTCCATATCTGCAGACACACAGTGGCAGTGCAGACAGACTCTCTGGGTGAGGGGATATATCAGCTGATATTCGCACTGTGTTGTGACGTTGATCTGCTGTGAAACATCAGTTTTAAGTTGCTTAAACGTTATTTCCAACTTGGATTTTGGAGAAATAAACACCAGTTGTTTTGCACTGTGACCTGTACGATCTCCTGGTGACACATTTGGCCAAACCCCTCCATACCTCCGTTCACTGCTCAGTATCTCCCACATTAACAGTTTGTGTTCACCGTCTCCAGTCTGCCGCTCCCACTGGAACCAGTTGCAAAAGACACTGAAACTGCTGCACACCCTTATTCCATTAATCCTTTAATAACTCTAATAACTGTACATGGATGGTTCCTGATCACTGCGCCTGCTTTTAACCGTATGGACACATGTTCAGTCATTAGTTGTAGTTTCGAGGCTTGCTGTTGAGGACTGCAGTTATTGTCTCCATTAGTGAGCAGTGCGGTCTGTAAACCAGGAGCTCCAGTCCTGTAATCGAGGGGAGGAATTTACGGCCTGTCACAGTTCCTCTCTGCACCTCTCTGGTTCACAGGACTTGTTGTATTTATTGTGTAACTCTGGCATATACTAGCTGTATATACTCTAGCACTAGCTGTATCTGTGCTTCCCTCAGGTCGACAGTGTAAATAAGAACTGCTTCAACAAACCTTGTTCTTTCAACCCAGGAGAATAATGTTTGTAGGTCATCACTGCAGTCCTTCATTATAATGCGTCTGTCACATTTTACCATTATCAAACTATTTCAGCCACCTCCATTTGCATATTGCACTGTACCACACTGCGATAATCTTTTCCTTCATTGTGCAGCCGGGGTCGACTGAAGATCTGTTTGTATAGTGGTTAGTCTGATCGCTGCTGCATGTACATGGTTTTAATGTGATGATTAAGGTGTTCTGTTCGTACCTGCACAGGGAAATTAGCTAATAGTTAAACATAAATCATCTCTCATTTTGAGATGAATGTTTTTTTGTGCGTGGTTTAATGTCTCCGTCCTCCTCAGGTTCTGGACGTGGACAGATCGGTTCTGTACAAGATCAAGAAGTCGGTGAAAGCCATCAACACGTCTGGTCTGGGTGAGTGACACAGTCTCACCTCAGTCTGTCCAAAAATACCAACGCTTCTCACCACAAGCGCCTCGCTCTTCCTGTCACTTCCTGTCTGCTGCTGCCTCAGTCTGCTCGCCACCACGCCACCACGCCATTTATTAACTCTCTGTTACAGAGCCTTTCTTCTTCACTAACAGCAGTGAACTCTGCCTGTTGTCTGTTTGTAGATTCACCAACAAGATAAAGCATCTCCCACAGCATGATGGGAGTTGTAGTCCTAAAACTCAGAACATGTTTATTCCAAATAGAAAGAATAACACAAAAATCATGTTTTTTGTGAGTGTAATCTCTGCAGCATCTCTTACAGCAAAGGGATCATGGGAGTTGTTGTCTTCACCACCATTGGCGTCATTGCAGTCAGCTTCTCCCGGTTAGGATTCCTTCAGTGTTCATGGTTCAGGAGGTTTCTACCGGGAGCCCAATGATCCACAGAGGTCTCCTCCTCTCCAACACAAACAGACCCGCTGATTAAAACCACTAAACACACTGAATAAAGCAGTTCCACCTTAAACACACTGAATTATGCAGTTCCACCTTAAACACCCTGAATAAAGCAGTTCCACCTTAAACACACTGAATAAAGCAGTTCCACCTTAAAACTGCTTCTCCCACGCTGTTGGACAGACAAAGGACGTCCCGGAGGGGCTGCGAGCCGAGCTACTGCTAACGTTAGCTCAGCTTGTTTCTCTGATAACTTAAGATCCAGACGTCAGATGACTAAAATCCTTCATCCGGTTCAAATCTAGAGTTAAAAAGCACCAAGATCTAAACAGTGGATGGTAAACAGTCAATGTATGACAGCTTCCGGCAGCGTTACCTGAATAAAATGACAGATTTCTCTGAGTTTGAACTTTGTTGGAAACATTTGGGATAAAGTAAGAACTCAACTACATAGAGAACATAGAGCCAGAGGTTATACACTGTTTAATGAGGATAGGTTACAGATTACAGCTTTTTAATGTCCCATCAGCATATTTCTAATGTTAACAGTTGGAATAGTTTGATGAATGTAAGGGATGAAGGGATGAAGTGTCTGGTGGAGTTGATGAAGAGGGCGGTGAGGGCTGAAGATGATCTGCTGGGAACGGTGGTGAAACCAGCTGGTGGTGCGTTCAGGGTCTGTGTTCAGGCAGGTAGAGTCTAACCTCCAAAACATTCCTGCCATACCGCTGTCCTGTCCCAGCATGCCGAGGGAGAGCGAGAGACGCCCGAACTCGATGTCTTCAGTGTCAGAGAGAGAAAGAGACTGAAACATACGAACTGTTCTCGTGTTTCACTTCAAACCGATCTACGATTACAGCGATTAAATAACGAAACAAAGCGGATCGATGGCGTCAGCGGGTAATAACAGATTAATGTGAGCACAAACACACAATAAATATATTTAAAACTGTTAGAAGATTAATTAATAAATTAATCACCAACTATTTTAATAATCGATTAATCGTTTTAATTAGTTCTCTGATGTGTTTCTGGTTTCTTTGGTTCTCTGTGACACTGAACTGATCTCTGGTAGACAGCGAGGCCTTTGAGGACGCTGCCTTTGGTTTGGCGAAACACTGATCAACAATAACTAATGGATTAAGTGAGAAAGCGATCGACAGATTAATTGATAATAATAATTCTAGAGTTTGCTAATATGAGCACAGAGTGGCTCCGGCTGCAGAGACGAGCTGGTGAACGTAGTACTTTACATTCATCAGGTGACACAAACATTAATCCCGATGAACGGTAACGTCGCTGTTGGATGTGGAAATAAGGAACATATTCAACTTTTAATCAATAGTTGTAGATATCAAACATTTCTTTATGACTAGTTAGAATTGCAACATGTTAATAATGTAAGTTTAACTCTACAATTCATTTCTCTTTGCTCACAAGTGGGAACGTCAATTGTTGATTGAATTGTTTATTAGTTTAGGATTTCCACTGTAGATTTCAACAATCTTAAATTATCATTATATATATTTTTAATTACTTTTAGTCAAAATTAGATTTTAGGAATCAATAAAAGTCTAAATGTCACTGTAGATTCACTGAGGAGATCAAAATCATCTTTTGTTACATATAAGATATTTTCGGTTCCTGCACTGATCAACAGCAACTATAAACATTACTTTTATCTTTTAAAGTTCATTGGTTCATAATCTATATCTATAGCTCTATATGTATACACACATACAGACAGAGATGTGGTTGCAGTTTTATAATGTGTCTATAATAAAGATCAGAGAGCTGATGGAGGATATTATAAACTCTGCAGCTCTCTGACGAAGAACACATTTAATACTCGTTGTGGCCAAAAGTGCGCAGATGGTTTGGTGTGCGGCGGTCGAGAGCGAAGAGGAACAAAGAGAAACGATCCTGTTTCAGGTTGAGAAAAGAAAAAGTGAAAGTGAGGCTCTGACCTGAAGCAGCTGATCAACAGTGGTTGGTGTCTTTGTCCTGCTCAATAAAACATTTCATTTCCTCAATGAACTCTTCTGAAAGTGAATATTAATGAGATATCTGCTTTATATTAGCTTTATTCTTTTATTTACTTATATTTACAACCATATTTGCTGTTGTTTAACTAACAGTGTACTTATACTTTTCTGATTTCTGATTATTTGTTAGGTTTTAATATCTTTTGTGTTTGATAATAAACAAATAATGGATCAATAACAGCTTTATTAATTAATTATTGAACATAAATAAACTCTTGAAAACACTATAAGTAGTCGACACTGTACAGACTCCATATGAATGAAAACCGGAGCAGATCAGAGATTTCATGTCATACATTGACTGTTGATCCAGTCTGAAGCCACATTGTTACCATCCACTGTTTAGATCTTGGTGCTTTTTAACTCTAGATTTGAACCAGATGAAGGATTTTAGTCATCGGACGTCTGGATCTTAAGTTATCAGAGAAACAAGCTGAGCTAACGTTAGCAGCAGCTCGGCTCGCAGCCCCTCCGGGACGTCCTTTGTCTGTCCAACAGCGTGGGAGAAGCAGTGATTGTTAAGGTGGAACTGCTTTATTCAGTGTGTTTAGTGGTTTTAATCAGCGGGTCTGTTTGTGTTGGAGAGGAGGAGACCTCTGTGGATCATTGGGCTCCCGGGAGAAACGTCCTGAACCATGAACACTGAAGGAATCCTAACCGGGAGAAGCTGACTGCAATGACGCCAATGGTGGTGAAGACAACAACTCCCATGATCCCACGCTGCTTTTCTTATTGTCTTAATGTGAGAATGTCAGAAATTACAGACTGTAGGTTTAAGTTGAGAAAGAGAGGAAATAATAATAACAATAATGTTGAACATTTACTAACAATACTGTGTTTTCTGTGTTTCTGTGTTTCTGTGTGTTTCAGCTCACGTTGACAATGAGGAGCAGTACATTCTGTCCATGGAGAAATTCGGAGACAACTGCGTCTGCCGGGAGGACGCCGAGGTTGGCTCGGCCTTCCTCAAGTTTGCCGTTTTCACCAAAGAGCTGTCGGCGCTCTTCAAGAACCTGGTGAGGGTCCGAGTTCACAACCCGATTGAAGCGTTGAAACTGAATCTGTAAAGTGTTCTGAGTGGATGCTTCCTCTCTATATGGACACACCGGAGCTGTGGAGGTTTCTGCTCATGTTTACTTCCCGTTTACAGTTGCAGAACATGAACAACATCATCACCTTCCCTCTGGACAGTCTGCTGAAGGGAGACCTGAAAGGAGTGAAAGGGGTTTGTGTTCAGTTTCCTTCTACCAACAACAGTTAAAGAGTCCTGATAAAAGCACCTTACTGAGATTATTTGAACAGATATTGAAATATGATTAATTAATGTTATAAAGAGTTCGGTCTAGACCTGCTCTATTTGAAAAGTGTCCTGAGATAACTTCTGTTATGAATTGGTGCTATACAGATAAATTGAATTGAATTGAATTGAATTGAATTGAATTGAATTGAATTGAATTGAATTAACAACAAATATTTGAAAACTAATTAGACTTTAACTCATTTGATTGAAACCACTGACGGATCAGTGACCTCAGAAACTTTATGAGTCACAAATAACATGTTCCAGTTGTTTTCATCACCTCTCAGTGATTCCGCTGTGTTTCGCACTTTGCAGCGGTTTTGTTTTCATGTTTTCATGTGTTGTTAAAGTGGGCGGAGACATTTTGTCCATTTGGCTGCAGTGTGTTGAGCTCTCAGGGCCACCGTACTGAACTCCACAGTGACGTCTTCAGGTGTCTGAACCCAAAAGATTCAGTTCACAGAACACAAAGAAAATCCTCACAGCAGCTGAAACAAGACTTTACTTAATGCTCTGACCAGTTGATTGTAATGATTCAATCGTGGTGATTCAGTATCTGAAAGAAGTCAGAAGTCAGTGTTTTTACTACTACATTAGTTATATATATATATAAACTAAGAGCTTCAGAGTTAATAATAAATATAAAGAGTAAAACAGGAGGAGCCACTCAGTAACGTTTGGATTAAAGTTCACGTCTTTGTTTCTATCAGTGAAAACAAAAAACTCACAAACGTTATCGTCTGGAAATATTTCCACAGTGACTCACAGGTCAAAGTCCTCTCTCTCTGTGTCTGCGATGTGATTGGTTCAGAGTTCAGTCTAATCATGTGACGTCTCTTCCTGTTTCAGGATCTGAAGAAGCCGTTCGACAAATCCTGGAAGGATTACGAGACCAAGCTGTAAGAACAGAAACACATCATCAGTTTAATGTGAAACAATAACACATATTCTCTTCATAAAGGACTTTAATTACACTTATCTTCACCTTTAATGATACATTCTAATAGAATATAAATAGTTTTTAATATAAATTATAATAGATACAAACACAATTTTTCCCTCTGAGGCTCAGTGGACTGTCTGACTGGTTATACAGGAAGAATCAGTGACTTTATAAAAAGGTAAAGATGCAACGATCAGGTTTTCACGGAGCTCTCGTCTCGACCTTTGACCTCCGCAGAGCAAAGCTTGAGAAGGAGAAGAGGGAGCACGCCAAGCAGCACGGGATGATTCGCACCGAGTTCAGCGGAGGAGAGATCGCGGAGGAGATGGAGAAGGAGCGACGACTCTTCCAGCTGCAGATGTGCGAGGTGAGGCCTCCGCAAATGTTCCCTCCGTCAGTTTAAATAGAAAAATAAAAGGTTTGGAGGTTTGATTTGTTTTCTCTGTTTCAGTATCTGCTCAAAGTGAACGAGATCAAAGTGAAGAAAGGCGTCGACTTCCTCCAGAACCTCATCAAGTATTTCCACGCTCAGTGCAAGTACGTCGTTTAAAGTCCATCAACACGCTTACAATCATTCATCGTTCAGTATCTGAAACATCCAGAAGAAATCCACCTTCAGTTATTTAATATCAATGAAATATATAATAATTATTGAGTTAAAAATAATGTTGGTGTTTTAATGAAATATGAGAAATGTATGGAAGTTTAATGCTGCCACACCAGAAAAATAAAATCAGTATCAGGTTATATATGATTATAACACATTTTATGTTCTAACATAATCATTTATATTGTTATAAAACGTGATCAAATTTTAAATTATCACAATATTTTAACATGTTAACAATGTAAATTGTCACATTATTACATTAAATGTTTAATGTTATAACAAGAAGAGTTTCTTCTTATAATGTGAAAACTTTTAATGTGATATTGTTTGTTTTTCTTTTTCTGGTGTTGCGGCAAAATGGAAATATTTAATCATATAATTCATTCATTACGTAGTTTTAAGGTTTAACTTCCTTCAGCAGCAACAACGAGGTAAATACTGTAAATTAGATTTGTTATTTTATATAAATTTCCACATTTTCTGTCAGTTTTTTCCAGGACGGACTGAAAGCTGTGGAGAGTTTGAAACCCTCGATAGAGAAACTGGCTACAGATATAACGGCGGTGAGACAGAAAATATTAAAACTAAATATCAGAATAATGCAGCATAAAGACGTCTGCCTCTCAGATATAATAACATCAAAATAATCCGTCTGTTTCTTCTTCTGTGGTGTCCAGATAAAGCAGACTCAGGATGGCGAGAGGAAACAGCTGACTCAGCTCCGGGACGTCCTGAAAGCGTCGCTGCAGTCGGAGCAGAAAGAGGTTTGTTCTGTTGTTACAACATCTTTCTGTCTTTAAGAAGAATGAATAATAACTAGTGTCTCCTTCAGGACGCTCAGGCCAAACAGAACGCAGGTTACAGCCTCCACCAGCTGCAGGGCAACAAGGCCCACGGCACCGAGCGCTCCGGAGTCCTCTACAAGAAGAGTGAGGGGTGAGTGAACTCAGTCTCCCAGAATGCAACAGGAGAATGACTTTCTGTGGTGTCAGGCTACGTGCTAACCGTTGGCGTTGTCCTCAGGCTGAGGAAGGTGTGGCAGAAGAGGAAGTGCTCGGTGAAGAACGGTTTCCTGACCATCTGCCACGGCACGGTAAGATCCTCTTCTCCTATTGGTCTACCTGCATGAGAAGCTCCGCCCTCCTGCCTGCATGCCCATCAGCCAATAAAAAGTCTCCTTCTGGGTTTTATTTATTTTATTTACCTGAATTTGTGGAAAACACAAGTTCGATTTTTTTATTTAGTTTCTTATTTTTTTTCCTTCTTTTTGTTTTCTTTTATTTTGAAGTTTTTACATGAAGAGTCAAACGACCAATCAGGACAGAGCAAGAAGCAGAGGAAGAGAAAGAGGAGGAGAAGAAAGAGCATAAGGAAAAGGATGACAGAGAGAAGGGTGGGAAGTTGTGGGGGGGTCTCTGCTCTCAACCTCTCGTCTCTGCTTCAGCTTTCAGCTCCGAAATGGACGAGTTTCAGTGTCTCTTGCTTGCAGCTTTTATTGTGAAGTTTTTACACAAAGAAAGAAATAACTTCCTGTAGAACATTTGCCGAATTTACAAAGAGGCCCAACTAATTATAATCTGTCGTTTCACAAAGTCTCTAAAGTCTCTAAAGTTTCTCCTCACACACAAACTCACAAAGTTGCACAATTTTTAAAGGAAGTCTGGCGACTTTCACCACGAGCAACAAAGAAATATCCTGCATTGGTTCATGTTTAATGTGTTTTTACACTTTTAATCAATAAAAACAATAAAATGTAGATGAAACTTTACGTTCAAACAGCTGCTAAATATTGGCAGGTAAGAATATACACGTTAGACACGGTGCAGCTGACAGACACAGCGTATTTAACAAGGAAAGAAACAACTTAATGGATTTAATTTAATGCCGAACTAACAAGAAGGCACAAATTATTAAGAAATGTATAATCAATAGTTAATAATAGTTTATTAAGTCTCTCCTCACTCAACAACTCTTAGAATTGGGCGTTTTTGTGAGGGAGTCTGGGGATATTGCGGTTACTAGTTGTGAAATGAGTTGAAACTGACAGTGTGTTAACAAACACTTCCTCCTGCAGCAGGTAAAGAGTCCAAACACATCATTTACATCAGTGAACCAAATGGAAATCAGACAGTGTTTCTGTGTACTTACAGACCGGCAGGTGAGTGGGCGGAGGACACAATCACATGCTCACCTGTAGAATAATGAGGCCATATTGTGGGCGAGACCACCTCTGAATGTGGTTAATACCAACAGAGTCTCTGTCCGAACCACTGCTGGGTTCATGGTCCTCAGAGGAGGAGGAGACGGGGATCAATACAGTTGTTATTATTCATCCTGAATGTGAAGGTCTGAACCATTAGGTCATTGGGCCTCATTGTCTCGTTACCATGGAAACAGATCCAGAGTCACCGGTCTCTAACCAGACAGAAACACAAATAAATAAAATACAAAAATAACCATCCTCATTAACAAAATGTATTTATTCGTAATGTATCTAATTATGTATATATGGATTTATTTATTGTATGATAAACTTTAATAATATACATAGTTGATAAAAACTAAAGCCAATTGTTATTTTTAAAGTTTAATAATAATTAAATAATAATAGTATATTATATAATATTAATAATACATATATTATTTAATATCAATTATAAATATATTATATAATAATCATAATAAATATGTTATATAATATTAATAATACATATATTATATAATATTAATAATACATATATTATTTAATATCCATAATAAATATATTATTTAATAATCAATTATAAATATGTTATATAATATTAATAATAAATATATTATATAATATTAATTATAAATATATTATATAATATTCATTATAAATATAGTATTATAATAATCATAATAAATATGTTATATAATATTCATAATAAATATATTATATCATATTATTAAAAATTATACATATATATTATAATATTCATAATAAATATATATTATAGACCCGATCAGTTTACCAGCTGTTGTTGTTGTTATTGATAAAGGTTGGGAACCAGCGGTTTCTGTGTATTGTTAGTGTTTCTGTGTCTCACTCTGTTTCCCTGCTTCTTGTCTCTCAGGCTAACAGACCTCCAGCCAAACTCAACCTGCTCACCTGTCAGGTGAAGAGGAATCCAGATGAGAAGAAGAGCTTCGATCTGTTCTCACGTAAGCTTCAGTTCGTCCGTCCGATAAACATTCACTGTTTGTGTCGTCCTCCTGTGTAAACCCACTTCCTGTTTCCTGTCTGCGTCCCTCAGACGACCGAACGTATCACTTCCAGACGGAGGATGAAGCCGAGTGTCAGATGTGAGTATTTACAGTTCGACCCCGCGGTTCGTCGGCCTGACCTTTGACCTCCGCTGTAACCTGTGACTGTGTTTATTCCAGCTGGGTGTCGGTGCTGCAGAACAGTAAAGAGGAGGCGCTGAACAAAGCGTTCAAAGGCGACCAGAACGAAGGCGAGAACAACATCGTACAGGAGCTCACCAAAGCCATCGTAGGAGAGGTGAAGAGGATGAGCGGCAACGACGGCTGCTGCGACTGCGGAGCGCCGGGTCAGTGCCACTGCAATCTACTACTTAATTATTATTCATACTGTTAATAATACTGTTAATACATCTATTAATATTATTCATACTATTAATAATACTGTTAATAATATATTAATACTATTAATACAATTAATAACACTGATAATACTATTATTAGTGCCACTGCAATCTACTACTTAATTATTATTCATACTATTAATAATACTGTTAATACATTATATAATATTATCATACTATTAATAATACGTTAAAAAAAAATAAAATATTTTTAAAAAAATAAAAAAACTAATAATACTATTATCAGTGCCACTGCAATCTACTACTTAATTATTATTCATACTGTTAATAATACTGTTAATAATATATTAATACTATTAATACAATTAATAACACTGATAATACTATTATTAGTGCCACTGCAATCTACTACTTCATTATTATTCATACTATTTATAACACTGTTAATACATCTATTAATATTATTCATACTATTAATAATACCGTTAATACTGCTGATAACACTGATAACACTATTATTAGTGCCAGTGCTACTGTACTTCTATTAATACTACTATTAATACTACTATTAATACTATTAATAATACTGTTAATACTACTATTAATACTATTAATAATACTGTTAATAATATATTCTTAATGCAGCTGCCACTACTACAATTACTGACTGCAACTCCTATTATATGCAGTCCTGCTATTACTGTTATTAACTAGTAACTACACCTCCGGCTCTACTAATAATACTAATAATACTATTAATACTAATAATACTACCACAGTACTGTTAATGCTGCTCATACTGTTTCTAACTGTTGCTGCTATAAGTTCACACACTGTCCTTTATTATTTATAACAGGGGGAATATTAAACATTAACTACTACAAGCTTTTTGTAAACGTGAACAATTAAATGAAATGTGATTATCTGCACTTAAAGCCTGTTACCTGATACTATTGTTAACATTCCTCAGCTGTCGGTCGTACCGGTCAGACGACTGTAGAGTTTCACTGAAACGCTGCTGAGTTAAAGTCTGTCAGCAGATTGTTCAGGTTGTTTTTACTGAGAAATTAAATCTCAGGAGACCAGTAATGAGTCATAGTTACTCTCTATATATAGTAACTGACTCAAACAAACAGCGCCACCAGTGGCCGCTCAGTGAACTGCAGGCAGCGTCCTGTTGCGTCGTCCTGGGCGTCGGCCAACAGTGACACCCACCAGACTGAATGCTGGGAAATAAACTACAATAATATTTAGAATAACGTTACTATCTGTAATGTTCCTATATTTCATTGGGACCATTAGCTCCATGCTACTAACTAGCTCTCCGTTTACAACCAATGCCAGACCCACGTCACAAAGACACGGTCGCCATACTGACGCATCCACGTAGATAATAAGATAATCATAATAAGATAATGATAGCAAGCTAAGGTTAGCCTGCCAACTGACAAAGCACTCGACTGTTTCACCACCAAAACACCCTAAAGAGCTAAAAACCACCATCGTCTCCTCCCGTCAGCTCCCACCTGGCTGTCCACCAACCTCGGGGTGCTGATCTGTATCGAGTGCTCGGGGATCCACAGGGAGATGGGGGTCCACTACTCCAGGATCCAGAGTCTGGACCTGGACGTCCTGGGAACCTCCGAGCTGCTCGTGAGTGTCGATGCAGAAAGTGATTCAGATTGTTTTCCAACTGAAAAGACGAAGAAGACGATATTTACCACTCATATGCTGATATATTAATCCTTCGTGCTGTTGGTACGTCATTCACTGTAACCTGACCTGTTGTGTTTCAGTTGGCGAAGAACGTGGGAAATGCCAACTTCAACGACATCATGGAGGCAGATCTGTCGGCGCAGGGCGTCACCAAACCTGATCCGACCAGCGGCATGTGAGTGACGGCGGCGCCGATGTGACGGGTTGACACCGAAGGTGAACCGTAAACTAACTGCGTCTCTCTGTGCTGCTTCCAGGCAGATGAGGAAGGACTACATCACAGCGAAGTACACAGAGAAGCGTTTCGCTCAGCGGCATTGTGCCGACGCCGCGGCCAGACTGCGAGATCTCTACGAGGCCGTCAGGAACAAAGACATCCTGTCTCTGATCCAGGTCTACGCCGAGGGGGTGGACCTGATGGACGCCAGCCTGCAGCCCAACGAACACGTACGTCACTGATTCCTTCATGTGGAGTTAAAGTACACAGATTCCCCTCACACCATCTCAGAGTGTGTGTGTGTGTGTGTGCGTGTGTGTGTGTGTGTGTGTGTGTGTGTGTGTGTGTGTGTGTGTGTGTGTGTGTGTTTCAGGAACCCGGAGAGACGGTGCTCCACCTGGCGGTCCGTATGGGCGACAGGGACTCGCTCCACATCGTCGACTTCCTCGCCCAAAACAGGTGACACGGGAACGCACGCCATCGCTGCAGCTAATGAGGGCTTTATCCAGTTATCTGTTACAACTTCAGAAAAAACCAACAGGGAAACACGAGGATAAAACAACCAGGGACAGAACAGAGATGAAGTGACAATATAACATAATAAGACACAGGAAGTGAATTTGAACAGGAATACAAAATAAAACCTAAAACCCACGACACCGTCGACCGTTTTCTTGATTGATTTTGCCGTTTTAATGCTGCTTAGAGCTTCACAGTTGATCAAAATATTATCGACATGGTAACACGGCCCCAAAAAGTCTTGAAGGTGTTTGACAAACATTATAATGAAGCTCTGTGCTGCTGCTCAGACCTACACCCCCAGAAAGTTCTCATCATCATTATTTTAATAGTTATAATGAAAATTAAAGTTGTGACACAAACATAATAATTCTCACTCTGTGGAAATAATCACTATAAGATGTTTTTACCACATCGTGCAGCTCTAATGCTCTTCTGTCCTCCGCTGTACATCTGCACGGTAATTAATGTCTGAATCTTTCAGTATTGTTCACTAGCGGATCTCGACCTCTCCAATATGGCGGCCACACAGACGCACGTCAAACGCCATCTGCAGTCGACTGAGCTCAGTTATTGTTATTGAGTAGAGACAGTTTGTCAGTGATTGTCCTCACATGTATATTAACATCAGTGTGTGTGTGTGTGTGTGTGTGTGTGTGTGTGTGTGTGTGTGTGTGTGTGTGTGTGTGTGTGTGTGTGTGTGTGTGTGTTTCAGTGGTAACCTGGACAAGCAGACGACCAAAGGAAGCACAGCGCTGCACTACTGCTGCCTGACGGACAACAGCGAGTGTCTGAAACTGCTGCTGAGAGGAAGAGCTTCAGTCTCCATCAGTAAGAACACAAACAGGAAGGAAACAGGAAGGAAACAGGAGGGAAACAGGATGGAAACAGGAAGGAAACAGGAGGGAAACAGGATGTAAACAGGATGTAAACAGGAAGGAAACAGGAGGGAAACAGGAAGGAAACAGGAAGGAAACAGGAAGGAAACAAGAAGGAAACAGGAAGGAAACAGGATGTAAACAGGAAGGAAACAGGATGGAAACAGGAAGGAAACAGGAAGGAAACAGGAGGGAAACAGGAAGGAAACAGGATGGAAACAGGAAGGAAACAGGAAGGAAACAGGAAGGAAACAGGAAGGAAACAGGATGGAAACAGAGGAAACGGAAAAACAGGAAGGAAACAGGAGGGAAACAGGAAGGAAACAGGAAGGAAACAGGAAGGAAACAGGAGGGAAACAGGAAGGAAACAGGAAGGAAACAGGAGGGAAACAGGAAGGAAACAGGAACACCTCACATTGTAGAAGTCTTATATTAGACCATATAAATAGTTACAGGGTTGAACGAGGACTTAAACTAGTGTCCGGTCCTTTTACTAGATAGAAGATAAAGCTGTAAGAATAGTGAACTTTAGTTTCCTGGTGTAATCGGAGCGTTAAAGCGTCTAACGATCGACAGCGTGAACACAAACCGTCTCGTTTCTGAACGTCTCTTTTCACTGAAATACTTTAATTTGTCTCCACAGCAAACGAAGCCGGAGAGACGCCGCTGGACATCGCTAAACGTCTCCGACACACAGAGTGTGAAGAACTGGTGAGACTCAGAGAAATGTTATATTTCTTATATTTCTTATATTTGTTATCATATCTTTGGTTTCTTTAATCTTTTCTAACAGTTAATACGTTTATATGTGCAGTTAAATGTACCTGAACTGAGCTGAATTAACTACAGTAAACAAATATAAAGTGAGTTTACAGACAGTAAAATAAGGCTAAGCTAAATCAGACTAAAATAAACTAGTTAAACTGAACTGGACCTGAATAAATTACACAAACACATACAATACAATAAATACAATAAAACCAAACAATAGTTGAATTAAAGAAAGCTAAGCTACGAGAAATAAAAGCTAAACTAAAGTTAATAATAATAATAATGTAAACAAATACAAACAACTAAACTTTAATGTTTTATTAACCGTCGTTATCGTCGGTTTCAGTTGACTCAGGCTCAGACGGGAAAGTTTAACGTCCACGTTCACGTCGAGTACGAGTGGCGTCTCCAGAACGAGGACCTGGACGAGAGCGAGGACGAGATGGAGGACAAGGTCAGCTGGTTTAATGGTTAAACATTGTAAACACACGTAGTGGTTCGGAGGAGTAACGGCGTGTTTCCTGCAGCCAATCCCCAACCGGCGGGAGGAGCGTCCGGTCAGCTGCTTCGTGCCGGGCAGCGGCCCCATGCAGCCCAACCTCACGGCGCTGGCCCGGGACGCCGCCTTCCTGGCGCGGGACAAACAACGGCCTCAGGTCCCGAGTATGATGCTCAGCAACGAGACCTACGGCACCATGATGGACCTCAACCTGCCGCCACCGGGACCGACGCCGCCACTGCCGCCCAGAGTGCCCAACAGAGGTCAGTGAGTGTATTTTTCTTAAAAGTTAATTAAAAAAAAAATGGGGTGGGGGGTTTGTTTTCAACTCTTCCTCACAGGTTAGTTAATGACAGACAGTCAGTGAGTGTGTCTGTGTCCAACTCTTCCTCACAGGTTAGTTAATGACAGACAGTCAGTGAGTGTGTCTGTGTCCAACTCTTCCTCACAGGTTAGTTAATGATAGTTACTGAGTCAATGTGAGGATTGTGTCTGTGTCCAGACTGTTCCTCACAGGTTAGTTAATACAGAGTCTCACTGATGGTGTGAAATAAAGGTTATTACTCTCCTCACATTAGTTAATATACTGAGTCAGTTTGCAGATTTGTAATGAAAAAGAGTTTGTCTGATGGTGGACATAAAGGTGTGACTCCTAAAACAGCTGTTTTTGAATGGATTTGATGTGACCGTGTAGCATAGGGATTCGAACCTTAATAAACTGAGCTGACCTACCTTCTAATACTAATCTACGTACAGGAGAAGAAGTAGACCGAGGCTCGCTCCGCTCTCATTGGAGCAGATAGTGAAAGGGGGCGGGGCTTATGATGTTTTGTCTCCCTGCAGGTCCAGCTCACAGTAAACCTGCTGCCATAGAAACTGTAGGAAGACAGCGGTCCTCCTCCGACCCCCCCAACCCTCAGGCCCCCGAGAGGAACTCCTCCATGTATGGTGAGTGTCACTTCCTGTCCGCTTCATGCTGCCTATTACAAAATAAAAGCTTTCAGAAAGGTGGTAAATGTTCTTCCTCTCCCAGTGCTCCCAGCAGCTCCTCCTCCTCCAGTCAGTAAGAGGTCCAGCATGATGGAGACCAAGACCCTGTCAGCCAAGAATACCCCCCTCCCTCCTCTCCCTCCCCCACCAACAACAGGACTCCCCCCAGTCATACCGGTGCCTCCGGTCCCAGCGGGCCCCGCCATCCCACCTCCGCCCCACTTCAAAGCTCCGCCACTGCCCCCACCGGTCCCCAGTCACAGCCGACCGCCGGGACCACCAGGACCCAAGTCCCCCAAATCACCCACCGGGTATGTACTGGTCTGTAGTGGTCTGTAGTGGACTGTAGTGGTCTGTAGTGGTCTGTAGTGGACTGTACTGGTCTGTACTGGTCTGTAGTGGTCTGTAGTAGTCTGTAGTGGACTGTACTGGACTGTAGTGGTCTGTAGTAGTGAATCCAATCATTGTGTTTTATTGAAGACTTTATTCTGATTTCAGATCAAAGAAATCTCCTCCACAGAGACCTCCTGTTAGGACTCCATCTGTGAACAAAGCAGGTACTCACACACCCTTGTTAACAACCCCTGACCCTGACCCTGACCCTGATCCTGACCCTGACCCTGACCCTGACCCTGACCCTGATCCTGATCCTGACCCTGACCCTGATCCTGACCCTGACCCTGATCCTGACCCTGACCCTGACCCTGATCCTGATCCTGACCCTGACCCTGACCCTGATCCTGACCCTGACCCTGACCCTGATCCTGACCCTGATCCTGACCCTGACCCTGATCCTGATCCTGACCCTGATGAAGCTGCAGTCGTGTTTCTGTTCATTAACCCTGATCATAATGACGTCATGTGTTTCCTCTGTAGGATCGCAGTCCAGATCCCCACAGAGTCCTTCTCCTCCAACACCCAAACCCAGAAGCACCTACGCTGTAAGTCCTTAAACACAGAGGTCAGAGGTCAACACTGATTTAAAGGGACAGCTCACCAAAAAACACCTGAATGACCTCCAGTTTGTTACTGTGTGTGTGTCTGTGTGTGTGTGTGTGTGTGTGTGTGTGTGTGTGTGTGTCTGTCTGTCTGTCTGTCTGTCTGTCTGTGTGTGTCTGTGTGTCTGTGTGTCTGTCTGTCTGTCTGTGTGTGTGTGTGTGTGTGTGTGTGTGTGTGTGTGTGTGTGTGTGTGTGTGTGCAGAAGCAGAAGCCTAAGAGGGTGAAGGCCATCTACAACTGTTTTGCTGATAATCCAGACGAGCTGACGTTCACCGAGGGGGAGGTGATCGTGGTGGAGGGTGAGGAGGACAGCGACTGGTGGGTGAGTGACAAACAGGAAGTACATCACCGCTTCCCTCCGACTGAAGGTTTCAGTTTGACCTCCTTTACTCGAGTTCGTCCTCAGCTTCCCTCTCTGTGTGTCTCAGGTCGGTCACGTTGAAGGAGAGCCGAGCAGGCGAGGAGCGTTTCCCGTCACCTTCGTTCACTTCATCACAGAGTGACGGCCGGCGGGTGGGTGTGGGCGGAGATTACTCACACCTTCGCTCCCGCTCGCTTCCCGTCCTCCACCGACACGGCTCGGCCCGGGTGGAGACAAAGGACAAAGACTCAAAGTGAAGCTGGAGCCCGACCTGGGACCAGAATCTGACTGGAACACAAAACCACCTGAAAGCTTCATTTAGTCTTCAGATGTTATAAATGTAGAACAACAACACACCTGAAACTCTCCCACCTGTTCACCTGTTCACCTGTTCACCTGTTCACACCTGGTGTTAACGTCTTCTCGGCTGGTCTGATCACAAGTGGACATTTTAACTTCACACATGGCATTTAAATGAGTCTCAAGCATTGACAGTTTATATAACGGACAGAGCTTCTGTCTGTGAAGTGTCTTAAACCTGCATTCTATATAAAGGCCAGCAGGGGGCGCTCCACTGGTTGCAATAACACACTGATACCATTCAGTCTTATGGAGAAATGAGTCGACTTCTCAGTTGATTTATTCCCTCAGTAAACAGTTTCCTGATGAGTTTCTGGTCTCAGTCTCTAGTTTCAGTCTTCTTCCATACAGCATGATGTTCATTTAGTAACTGATGGTCCCATTTAGAGTAAAACAGACCATAAAGCAGGGTATGCTTTAGGGCGGGGCTACCTTGTGATTGACAGCTCATTCTCAGATCTAATGTTCATAAAGTTTCTCCTCGCTCAGCAGTATTGCGGTTGCTACTTCATCGGCGTTCACAAACATCTGCTGCTTATGTTGCCGACATTTGAGTCAAGAACCAAACCGACATCAGACCTCCTTCTGATTGTGGTCTGAGTGATCAGATCCCACCCGCTGTCCACTCGGGATCAGACCACCCAGGTTGATACCAGGTCTAAACAGGGATGAACTCAGAACTGTATTTTAAATTGGAAAGATCCTGAATGTGTCCGACTGAATTTGAGGGGAATTAGTTTAAAATGATTAATTGAAGCAACATCAGATCCAATAAAGGGAAATCTTAACGCTCCAATACACAGCAATATTTTAGAAAACTGTTACCTCATCCGACTCCTCCACCATCCAGACCTGATCACCGGGTCCAGGTGCTGGACCTCACTGACGCTCTGGATGCAGCAGGTTCAGCGTCTGTAGGAAGGACTGAAACCAGCAGAACATGGTGTCACAATCACACGTTACACTGTTATATATGGACGTCCACATACTTCTGGCCACATTGTCGGAGAAGTTCTCAGCTGCGGCCCAGAAACGCTCTGACTGATGTGATTTTAACTGGAAACGTGATGAATATTATTGATGTTTTAACTCGTTGGCTGAAGGGAAACTCTTTTCCACCACTTAGATTTTACTGTTCTCTTATTTTCTCATAACGCACAGTGTCAATAAAAACACCTGAAAGGACTCTTTTACCACA